TTGGAACCTCCTTTAAAATTAAGTTGTAACATATAGAACCCTCTACGATATAATTAAGAACCTATTTTCATATACCCAAATACTTTAATTGACCATTAGTTGGACTCTTAAACGTTTATTTTCATCAAAATACTCTTTTTTTAATATAAGAATTATTTAATCATTTCCAAAATATAATTTTTACACGTCATATAAATTCTTCTAAAACATATATTTTCAAACTTTCTAACATATTATAAAATTTATCAATTTTTCTTATATCATAAAATTTTATAATTTTAATTTTCTCATTTTCTAGATATAATTTGTCAACAACATAAAATTAATTCTAATACATATATTTTCAAACTTATCAATACTTTATAAAACAGACAAAAGTTGCTTTTTTAAAAAAAAATTCATAGTTTGAAGCTGCTCATAAATGCAAACATTTCAATGAACCATGAAAATGAGAATTTTAAAAAACAGAACCCGTATAAAAAAAAACTGAAAATACTTCATGGTTATTAGGCTAAAACTGTCAAGTATTCTCAAAATAGTTGACGGTTTTATGAGTAACCATGAAGTATTATTTGATAAATAGAATCAGGTTAGCATTCAAACCAATATACTGTAATTAATAATTCAATCATATGAATCTAATTAACCATGTACCAAACAAAAATTTACATCATATGCATCTTAATGACAAACCAAATGTTATACAATATGTTGTCTTAAGCCAAATCAAAATTTTGGATAAGTACAAATGGCAAAAGCCAAAAGCCAACCAAAACCAAAATTAGCCAATTGCCAAAAACCACAACAAAATTGTTTGATGCCAAAACTAACAGCATAATATTGAAACCAAAGCAATCTTCTACTTCCTTATTTATTTTGTGCCTACTGATGGTACAAAACCATTGCCAGCTCTTCAACGATTTCTTCTATTTGAGCAGATGAATACACTATGTAATATGTGTCGGTAAAATATTATATGCAAAAACAAATTGAGGTTAGATATAAATGTAAAGCTACACTAAGTATAATTCTAAAATTATAAATTGAACTTTAACAAATGCATCTTACCTTCACAGGGATTATGTCGAAATTGTGCATAATTATCTCCTTCACGACTTTTCATCAGCTACATTATGACGCCTATCCACATAGTCTATACAGACTGTCCAATCCCTATCGAGTAGAGATTGCACCTCCTTAACGATCCTATAATCATCATGTTCTCCCGCAACACCCTTCGTAATTAGCTCAAGTGCATTAGTGGAGTCGGTTTCTACCACCTTGTCTGCAACCTTCATCCTATGCCAACTTTAAACCATGTAAGTAAACCCAAATTTCGGCCAAACAGAGATATGATAATGGAGCAAAAATAATTGCTCATCCTATGATCTAGTTTCAATTAAAATCATTTGGAAGGTTCCAGTGAACAAGAGTATCTAATCCAAAATTGCAACAAGGCAAAAGGAACCAAAAGTTGTACCAGGAAAAATGCAACAAGGCAGAAGGAACCACAAAATCATATTAGAGATTTAAAGAAGAGCATGACCAATCTGAAGCTATAAAGTCTGGAGAACATGTCGTGATAATGATGGAGGATGACCACAGAGCGTGACGATGATAGAGGATGACCACACAGCGCAACGACGCAACAATGATGGAGGAGGATCACAGAGAGTGACGATAATGGAGGAGGAACCATAAAAACAACAGGGAAAGACCAAAAATGATGTGGGGATGGCAAATTAGAGGATTGGGAGGTTTGGGCAGAGCTTATGAAGCAGAAGGATGCCCAAAATTTTAAAACAAGGTTAAGCGAAATGAACAGATTAGGGGTTTTAAGACACTCTTGATAATTTTTTAATATAACTGTCAAGTACGCTTGACAAATAATTGACAGTTATATTGAAAAACCATCAAGTATTACTAAACTTGACGGTTTTCAGAGAAACTGTCAAATTTTTGTTTTTCATGCTTGACAATTCTTTCTAGAACGCTCAAGTATTCTCAAACAATAATTGACGGTTCCTTTTAAAACTATCAATTTTTGTCCTGAAAAATTCCACCTCTCTTTATTTGACAGTTTTTATTATAACCGTCAAATATTTGACGTCAAGTATTTGTAATTCTGTAGTCTTGAGACCTCAAGCACATAACTATGCAACAAAATCAAGAAAGCTCTAATTTTCTAAAAACAATAAACACCCTTTGCATGAGGCTAAGATGTGAAAGCCATGGAATTAAAAAAAAAAGGGCATTTAATCACTCTCGAAAAGATTTTCATCCCCAGAACTATAACAAAATGATAGATTTTCACAAAATTTGAAACAGTTTTGTTTCTTTTTCTTTTTAATAAGAAATACTACCTCCAGTCCTTATTATAAGACTTCGTTTGACTCTTTGTTTGGTCCTAATTATAAGACCCCAATCCATTTTATCTCTCATATTTATATATTTTTTTCCAAGATAATCCTTCTAATAATGATAGTTCTAGCCAATACACTTAATTAGCAAGTATATTTTAGGAATGACAACACTTATTTATTACAAATAACTAACTTAACTTACTTTCTTAATCTCCTTAAATAAGTCAACTGAGTCTTATAATTAGGACTGGAGGTAGTATTTTTTTTTCTAAATATATATTTAAAAGAAATGATGGAATGAGAGAATGAACCTTTTGAATAATTATCAGCCACAAAAGCTGCCTATCTGTTCATCCCATTTTTTTTTAAAAAAAAAAAAGCTCACTATTTGTATAAGCAAGAATCAAACAAGACCACTCAGATTAGCAGCAATACCGCGATGGACAGAGAGCAACGCGTAGGTCAGCGACCCTCCAGTTTCAGTATCTCTTCATGAAGACCTCGATTTGGTATGCTTTCTAGTTCTACCCACTTTGATCTGATCTGGCTAGCAATGGAATATAGGCTCTTTGCTGAGACCTAGTCACTTAGGGTTGATGGAAGTTAAAATATAGGTATCCTTCTATTAAAAGTAATCTTATTCAAGGCACTGTTTAGTACTAAATGTGAGTACCTCTCCCAGTGAGGATTCAAACATTGGTTCGTCACATTATGAGGGACTAGCCCCTTCTGCTAGACCCAACCCTGTTAGTAAATTTGTTTTCATATTAAATCAACTATATTATTCAAGAAATTGGGGGATGCATACCGTGTTGCTCTACTGAAAAGCATGTTCACCATCAGTAATTTTGTTTACATATATTATTTTTGAGCTACATTATGCATCGTAAGTTAGGAATGTTTGTGGCTTTCGAGAAAAATATTTCCAGACTAAAATTATATAAAAAAAATTATTTTAGAATAATAGGTAGTACTAAAAAGATATTTTAGGACGTTGAATGTATCAAAAATTAGTTTAAAATATTGGATGCTCTTAAAAATATATATATGAGACGAATACATACAACTTAACCCTTATTTAATATGTTCAGCGCTATCAGTACCATTGAATTTTATTAACAGCAATAAAAATTATTGATTTGATTCTTTTCGATTTTTATTATAAATTATCTTATTCATAAAATATAAGCAACACGTAGAAAGAGCAAAATGAGTTAATGTAAATTACATACTAATAATGTCTCTCAATGAAGATCATTTTTTTATTTCATTTATCTCCCTCTCCCTCTCTTTTTTGTTCCAATTTAAATTACTCAAACCAAATCAAATTCCAATAATTTTCATGTATTTAATATTTAGAATTTTTTTCATTGTAATGAAAATATTAAAGTTAAATTTCTTTTCTTGTTTTTTTTTTTGGAAAAAAAGAGTAACTATCTCCTTAAGACCGTGGCTTTTGCATAATCCATCATCCAACAAGATACTTACAAGTTATTATATCTAGCATATGGCTATTTATACAAGCCATCTATAAAGAAAACATGTGACAGTATCATGAACAATCATTTACATTGTATTTTCTTAAAGAGATATATGATTTCACCAACCCTTTTAATTTTGCACAGCCCACTAATCAAGATATTATGATTGAAAATATTATGAGCCACATCACTTTTTGATCATCCTATGCAACACAACTCACCAAACATCATTGATCAAAGTGCTCCCACCCATTTAAGGCATTGAAAGTAATTCCAGCACCCTTTTGACCACATTTCATCATCAAAGAAACTACAGCTATAGCTTTGGTTATCTTTCCTTTTATAAAAAATGCATCCAATAATAAAGGCATAAACAGAAGGATTGATGCTTTCTAGCACCATTTTATTTAAGCATCAAAGAGGCGTATGTAACGATATTTGAAGTTATTCCCATTAGTCATTTCATGATGTAAAATTTTTGCTTCAATAACAACCCCTTCTCTACAAAGACCATCAAATAAAGTGGGTAACTGGATATGAAGTTAAATAGGGTATAGAAACCTTTCAAGTGAGGGGATCAAAGTTCATTCAACTCCCATAAACTTATATTAGCCTATCACAGGATAAAATGGCAAACTTCTTGTATTCATCTGTTCTAAAGTTTGAACATTGTTATAAATACAACACTCCAAGGAAAAAGTGTCTAAGCTAAATCTCAATTTTACATATGAACTTATCCCAACTACAAAAGAACTGAAAAAACGACAAATATGGAATTAAAAAATTTTGTATGCCGTAAATTACTAGATACAGATGTTAGGAACAGAAACAAAATAACAGGAAGACAGCCTTAAATCGAACGAGAAGAGATAGATTTTCCCAACGTTTCAAGTAGTTTTGCTTCTAAATATAACAAAAAGGATGGGATGGGAGAATGAACCCCGAAAATAATCATCAGTGGCATATGCTGCCTACCAGTATCAGCAAGGCAAAGACAATCAAATGAACTTAGGGGATTCAACGACAACCATGGCTGATACTGAAATAAAAAAGTGAAAACAACTTTAATTGCCTTTAAATTTCAGCTGCCATCAGACAGTGCATTGGTTAAATATTTCAACAAATTTCAACATGAAAACAAGTATCTGGCTTTCTTTTATCGTCTTTGAAGACCTCTAGCAACTATTTCATGAAGAATATTCTCCGCCTTATCAATCTCACCTTTCTCCAAAAGAGTTCCGATCATTGTTTTAAAAGTTCCAAAATTTGGGAGGCACCCATTGTCAATCATTTGAAAAAGTAATGCCCGTCCCTCATCAAACAAGCCCTCTTTACACAGTCCATTAATCATAGCAGTATATTCTTGGACATTTAGAGAATGACCATTAGCCAAAAGATACTGAAAAACTTGTTGAGCAGTATTTAATTTACCATCCTTGCACAAACCACCAATAAGAATGGTGTGTGTGTAAATATCAGGTTGTTTTCCTAGGACACCCATTTCTTCGAATAGCATAATTGCTTCATCAAGATGCTGGCTCTTGCACAATCCATCCAACAAGACATTGTAGGTTACTATATCTGGCAGATGACCACTATCATGCATATCATAAATAAGTTCCTGCACGTTTGAGATCTTTCCTGATTTGAACAGGCCATCAATAAGAGTATTATATGTCACAATATCAGGAAACAAACCTTTGCATTGCATTTCTTGAAAGAGATCCATGGCTTCACCAATCCTCTTCATTTTACATAACCCATTAATCAAGATACTGTAACTGAAACATCAGGCAACACATCACTTTTCATTCTATTAAGAACCTTCTTCGACTCATCAACATTATTCATCATACAGTACCCATCCATCAAAGCACTGTAACTAATAACATCAGGCTTTATGCTACTTTTCATCATCCTACCAACTATTGCCTCAGCTTTGGTTATACACCCTTTTTAAACAAAATGCATCTACCAATATATTAAAGGTATAAATACAAGGAGTGATGCCTTCCAGCCCCATTTTATTTAGCAACCACGTGGCTTCTTGCCATTGATCCATGCAACAGAAACCATATATTAGAGAGTTATAGGTAATAATATCCCGAGATATTCCCCTCTCAGTCATTTCATGATATAATTTTTTTGCCTCAATTGCAAGCCCTTCTTTACAAAGACCATCGATTACTGTGTTGTATATAACTAAACCAGGCTTAACTAACCCTGTCTCCATCTTTCGAAGCAATTCAAGAGCAGCAGACGTTTTTCCAATTTTACAGAAGCCGTCAATCAGGGTGCCATAGCTTACCTCATCTAACTGAAATCCTTTTGTCAATATGTCATTATGAAAGACAAGGGCTTCTCTAACGTTAGTATTAATGCATTGACCTTTCAACAGAGTAGTTAAAGTTATTATATCTGGCTGACAGCCCATCTTGAGAATCTTCCCTAGTATAGAAAGCAAAAACATGTTACCCAAATGGCAGTAACAATTGATCAAGATGTTCAGAGTAAATAAAGAAGGAGTGAATCCCTTGCATTCTGCTTTTGAGAAAAGGGAAATAGCAGTTCGGTGATGCTTCATCTTCGCGACAGATCCTAGAATCTTATTAATACGGACTATAGAGGGTTGGGGATTCATATGAAGCAAGCTATGAAATGAAGAGATAGCCTCTTCAATGCTCCTAGGAGTTGGCGAATGGGAAAAATATCTGGGGAAGGCGTACCTTGTAGTTTTACAGAAAAGCATGTTCATCATCAAAAATTGAGATCTGCTGAGGAGGAAGGGGAGAATCAGACTGTGAAGAACCATGCGCCTGAAGATCACAAGCGCTCGCCACAAAAAAATCATACGCAATCTCCGGCTGCGACGGCGAGCCTAGGAATGGAGGGTCACCTTTGTTTTCCGGGAAAGATACTTTAATAATAATCGCTAACTATGAAATTCATTTTACGGATAAAATATAGGGGAAATTGCAAAAAAAGACCTTGGAATTGCAAAAACGCAGATAGGGACCCTTGACAACTTCACTTTGGGTTTTGACAACTTCAGGGCATTTATTCTTGTCAAAACCCATAGTGAAGTGTCAAGGGTCCCTATCTGCGTTTTTGCAATTCCAAGGTTTTTTTGCATTTTCCCTAAATATACGATCATTGTCATTTTTTTGGGTACAAGGATTAATATCATTTTTACTTGGGAGAGTTTGATAATCCCAAAAACTATTTAAAAAAATATTTTTATACAAATGAAGGTAAAACTCTTTTACAAATCGATACAAATTCTTTTTATATAAACTCTTCCTTAGTGTAATTGGTTTTCATTTTGATTTTGCTTTCAAAAATTTAAAACCAGTGCTTTTGTCCACAAAATTTTATAATAGAAACAAATTTTTTTAAACAGATTAAATAAAATTTTGATTTTAGAAATTAAAAATAGTATTGAATGCAAATATTTTACGAATTATATTCTTGACAAATCATAAAATAGGAAAATGAATTGAGGTAAATTACGTATAATCTCTCAATGAAGATTGTTTTTTATGTGAGTTTTGATCTCACTCTCTTATTTATTGTGAATTTAAATTATTCAAATCAAATCAAATCTCAATAATTTCCATTTATTTATTATTTTAAATTTATAAAAAAATTTAAAATTCAAACTTATTAAATCAAGTCTCCCTGAATACGCAGAGTTGGCTTATGAATTTACAGACTTCAAATCTTTAGTTAGAGATGGGAATCAAGACCAGCTCTTCAGGGTTAGCGGGCTTAAAAAGGCCAACCCTCCAAGACTGAAATTTTAAAAATATCCCAAATTATTAGGCCTAGTCCTTAAGCTAACAAGCTCAGAGCTAACCCGCAGGGTTTTTAACCCGTTTAAGAAAAAAATGTTATTTTTATATTTATCATATTTTTTATCAAAAAAATGAAAATAAA